ACATTTGTGCAGTTTTTGGAGGATTTTTGATATCTTTTAAATTTCTATAAATAAATAAATAAATATTTATTTAAATAGGCTTTTTTACAAAAAACAGCATTTTATGTCAAATTTACTTTATAAAAGACCCAGATTTCTAACTTTCATTTATGGGGATAACATGGATCATTTTAAATGATTTAATGTAAGATTTTTGCCCATTTTTTTGGAAAATGCCGTTTTAAAATAAAAAAACTCACTTTAACCACTAGATGGCCATAGACCTCCACTATAAGCTATTTGCTATGTGATTAACCAAACTACATATCTTTTCACAAGTTTTTCCAGTTGGATTCATATCTAAATATTATAAAATCACAATTATAACACACAAAAAAAACTTTTTGTCAAAGTTTAGCATTTTTTGTACAGACAAAAGTTTTTCAATAATGTTACATTATGATTAGAACCAAACCAACATCAAAATGTTGGATTCTTTAGATTTTATAATTTATTTCAATCATCTGTTTTTCATTTAATTCTACAATTTTAATTCTACAATTTTACTAACTGTAACAGAACAAAAAAATACAGAAATGAACAGTTATATTACATATTGAGTAAAAATACATGACATGAACATCAAAATGCAATGAACTGAACAGCAATAACAAATGAGCAAATAAAGCAGTAAAAAATAAAATGTTAAAAAAAAACAGTGAATGGAGAAAAAAATCGAACAACTAGGAACAATAATTGGTGGTCATCACATACAGTCTCGTTTACAGTGCACTGCAGGTGTTTATGCGTCAGTGCACTGCAGGCAGTATGCATATTATGGAATGGTAAAATGGTAAATGGACTGCATTTATATAGCGCTTTCACAGACACAATGGCCACCAAAGCGCTTTACAATAGCCTTACAAATGTATTACTGTGTGTGTGCATTGTGGATTTTTTTTTGCATTGTTGGAAGTGTGCCACTTTATTTCTGTCTATGTGATCTCCGTTGTTTCTTTGTTGTTTCTGATTTTGATGATGAATTTTGTATATTCACTATGCGGGGTCTCCAGGGACCCCGAAGATAACAAGTGTCGGCATTTTTTTCACACTAACATAAAAACAGATATCATTCCAAATTATTATTTTTTTGTTAGATCTAGACAGTGTTAAGAGGCGTAGAAGTTTTCATACCATTTGGACAAAGAGAATATTTTTTAAAAATTCACTAAAAGTCATTTGCGGGTCAAAAAGACCCCGAAGATAACCAGAGGGTTAAAATATATATGAGTTGTAATATTGTTTTTTATCACTTATGTTTTGTTATATTGGTGCATATAAAAGAAAATAGTGAAATATTCTTTATTATGTAAATAAAAATCACCATATGAGCCATTTCCGAGTATATAATTGGCGAAATGATGTGTGATGGATGGCCCCACATTAATTCACATTCATGTACCAAGCAAAGTCGGAATAATTATCACAAGTCGCAATTGGTACACATCAAAATCTGTCATTGCTTGGCATTAAATGAAAATTCATACATATCGGGTTTTCAGTTAAACACAGTCAGTTTTAAAACGTAAATAAAATAGTTGAGAATAGTTGACCCTCGGCTCAGTGCTAAGGGTTTTTGTTCTGACTCGACCGGGTCATTGGTTTAAATGTTTACTTATCCTGCCAAAATAAGAAAAGATACATTTGCCACCAAAATTTTAGATACTGGTGAAATTTCACAATTCTCAATTCCAATTTCAGTACCACACCCTGATCTACTAGCCTAACTTATGTAAAGTCCAAACTTTATTGTTTTAAGTTTTTCAGGTTGGTCTTATTGCACATGAATGGTTTAAATTGGCAAGACTTTTGCTTTCGTGAGGACCTAACAAACACCGCAGAGGCACATGTATATCAGCACAGATTTATAATTTCACAGATGACACGCATTCAAAAGATACTAACCCGAACTACCCAATTAGATATTTTAGGGGTCACTTGTTGCCTTCAGGGGGTTTCAGACTGCCGTAAATCGGCCTGTGTTTTTGATGTTGTTTTACTGGGATGGGAACCTTTCGGATCTTAAAATAACAGCTGGGCGCACACGGGTAAAGACCGGAAAGCCGAAAGTATACTTCCCTTGTCCGCATAATTGCACTCCGGCTCATGACGTTGATTTCATCATAGCTGATGACCCTCGGACATCGCATGTGATTTGAGCACATGAAAAGAAAGGTCCTCTAGAACGCATCCATCCATTCTCCCGGTCAACAGATTATACTTGGAAAGGCTTGTGCACGCTTGTATACTCAAAATGAAGTATACCTGGACCTTAAGATGACTATATGACCTGCTCTCAAGGATAGTATACTGACACAGGTGCGGGCGGAGATGGCAGACTCATAAGACGGCAACAGATGGATGAAGAAACAGGGTTTCATAGGCTGATGTCACGTTGACATCATGTCAGAGTGAATTAAAGAGAGGTTATCTCGCTCCTAACAGGTGCAACCTTCCTTTACCCCCTTGCACTCATGAAATCTCTCAGTGAGGTTCAAACTTCAGTCACTCATCGCAGCTGTTTATTGAATATGTTTTACTCCACTCCACAGGGAATCCGGGCTTCATTTCCCATTCCCAGTGCAAGCTGGTCCTCTCCCAGCGTGAATTGTGCTTGTTGGAGCGTGACCGACTACTGTCTGTCTGTCTGAATGTGAAGTCTTCTGGTGAATGAAAGCTTCACTCTGCAGGGTTGAAAATGGGCAGAGGCGCCAAAGATTTAGAGATCCTGTCGTTCACCAGGGCTGCCTTTTGTTTTATCCCCCCCCTCCTCTTATATGTGAAAGTTGGCATGTTGGAAGGCTGTTCTTACAGGAGTCATATAAAAACACATCAACTGTGTTTGAATCACATATATCTCTCAATATCTCGCTGTTGCTTCCTTCTACACTGTTTCTGCACCAAACACATTTCCATTATTCATCAATGGCTGCAGATATTGAGAATGCTGATGGTATGCTGATATAGCACTTTTGCTTTAATGTAAAGTAGGAAAACAACACATGGGTTGCTGACAAGATTTGCCAACAAGTGACTTATAATGTGCTGGTTGTTTTTAATTAGTCAGTCAAAGTTATTAAGGAAAGGAAATCAGACTGAACTGTTACTGAGTTCACAACTGACTCCTTCACTAAACCAGTCATTTTTTGGTGGTGTCCGATTCGAAATAAACCTGGAACTGCAGTGTCCTAAACACTCACGTTATTCCTCAAAGGTGAGAAACTTGAGCCTGGAGAGCCAAAGCAGTGATGTCTAAGAATTTTTACCAATATTTACCTAAAAAAGTAAATATTTCTACCAATTGGAAATAAATATAAGAAGGTTTTTTTATTTTTATTTGTACCTACGTTTCTGGCACATAGAAGGCCTTGTGACTGAGAAAACATGCTGGAGGTGCAAGTTTACCTTAAGAAAAGTAAAACATTTTTATATTTTGCTCAAAGTAATACTAAAAACAAACAACGTAGCCTATATAATCTAACAATCAACTCTCATCATGAGCACAAAACAAAGTTAACTGGTCATTTCTATGATTTTTGTCTTCCCTTGTCATCTCTAAATAATTTTCCAGTTTTTAACATTGTTTATTATGAAATGCTGATTAATAATGTTAAATGTATGGAAAACAAACGTCTAAATGCGCCACGTTAACTGGTTTAGTTAAATGGTCGGAGTCATCTGTATGATGGATATAAACAATTGTATTTGCTGCATTCTCGTTTTCTGCATTTATACTTTCTGTTTTAAGTATGTATTCTGCTGCTCACCGTGTTTCTGCTACTGTTGTTGTAAAATAACCGCGTCGTCTGCAGCTCTTAATCTGGCTCTTTACGTCTTTAGCGGGAGAGGGAAGCAACGCACACGAAGCGGTAAGGGCTTAAAGTAAAATATTAGAGGATGTAGTGCCAAAAGATAATTACCTTAAACAACCCTGAGTGCTTGTGGCGTGAACCGCTCCGTTGTTTTGACTCGCGGCTCACTTTAAACTAGAAGCGGTAAAATGTCGCAATTATGTCCCGCGATCCGGATGTAACCAAGCCGGGGTCCGCCGTTTGAACACCACTGATTTAGGTTATATTAGCTGTGCACTCTATGTACTTTAGTGCTTCTGAACAACCATCTTTGTTGAGTGATTCTGTATTAATTTGCTTGGTTGCTAAATGTTTAATTCAGTTATATTGCTTGTCCTGCACCTGATCAGCCTGAAAGTAGCCAACTATTTTTTATCGGTTTATTTGTTTGTGTTAGGCCAGACCGATATGTCAAATATATTGACAGTATTTTAATAAAATAAAATATCTATCCTATTATTAAACAACAACCCCAACCTCCCCCCAAGCAATCACCCAGAACACCCTAGCATGTTGGTATGGCTGTTTCTTCATGAAAATCAAATGTGATTTGAAGTTAAATAATGTTATCCAAATGAATGAAGGTAATGCATCATGTAAAAACCCACACTTTGCAATGGTGCATGCTGCATATGTATACAGTTCACGAATTCAGATTCAAAACTCGCATCTCATGCTTCAAAATGTCTTTCAGTAGTATACAATCCAGGTGCTCTAGCCACACTTTGATCTGAAACAAGGCCAATGCCAACGGTTTTACTCAAATACATAATGCTAAGGGTTATCGTTTGGGTCAGATCGACTGGTGGTCAGCATTGAAAAGGTCCAGTTCTTGACTCGTCTACCCCAGCTGTCTAAAGCACACCTGGGCTTCTGGCCTTGAAGTTCCAGCTGGATGAAAACAATGAACAAGTCTGAGGGAGGGTGAGGGGGTGTTCTGCTCTTTTTCAAAGCTACATTCTTTCACCTGCGTTTCAGCATCTTACTAATCAACATCACAAGTTGTCCGCCTGGACATGTAAGCGCTGAGACTGATCTACTAGATTAGTTTTTTGGCACCGCACTGGTTATCTTTGCTCATGCCTGTGTTTTGTTTTCTTCTCTTCATAGTGATCCTTGTCCAGGCTGGCTCTTTCTATTTCACCAAGGAGCCAAAATCCCAGGATGCCCTGCACGGGCGCAGTGCCATGCTGCGGTGTGAAGTAAACGACCCTCAAGGTGTCATCTACACCTGGAAGCACAACGGCGAGACCGTCACCAATTCAGAGCGACGATTTCTGGAAGGGGGCAACCTGAAATTCACTGCCATTGACAGAACGTTGGATTTAGGAAACTTCCAGTGCTTTGCCTCAAAGAACACCAGTGGTGAAGAAGAGCGCACCGGCGAGGCCTCCTTCAATATCAAATGTGAGTGTAACGCCCATGCATCGCTCAAAATATCCCTCCTTAACAAGTTAGTTAAACTCCATGTGTTTGCTGCCTCTTGGAAATGCTTTTCCTGGCGTGTAAAACACATGTGAACCATTGGCCCTTCTTGGCCTGCCTACTTCACCCCCTTTGCGACTGCAGTAAGCTAAACAACGCCCGCGTGAGAGAAGGTTATTTTGAGCCAGCAAGTGGAAGCCAGACAAAGCGCCCCTTTATATCCAATGCCAAGATTAATTGGTTGAAATGCAGCGTCCGGCCGCTTGTGTCAGATAACAAGTAAGGTCAACTAAATGGAGAGGCCTGTTTTTGCAGCGGGTGCAAAGCATGACCAGATGGTGTGAATGGGGGAGTTTGTTTTTGATGAGTGCAGTGGGTTTCAACAAGAGTTTCAGCCATCTCCTGATCATCAAGCTGTCGGTCTTTAACACATCTTTCTTACAGGGTTGGAAAGTGGTGCAGTGAGTCTGAAGAGTCCAGAATCAGTGGCAGAGATTGAGAGCTCCTCTCAAGTGATACTACGGTGCAACATAGATGGACACCCACGGTGAGCAATTGCATGTCTGATTCCTAGCCTTAGGTCAGGAACATGCTGTGGAAGCGAGGGCGACGCAAGCTCAAATTCGCATGTCATTGAGTTCTGCAGTTCATAATGCAGAGCAGGTACTCATTATGTTCTCATCGTAAAGGTCCGGATATACTTAATTTTCTGCGCTCCGCTCCGTCTAGCACAAGACTTTCAAAGTAGTATACTCCAGATTGACTCTGGTGCATTTAGTGGACCTTTCTATTTGAGTGTTAAAATCACTTGTGTGGTAGTACGAGGTGCAAACGGCCGTGTGCTCAGACAGCAGCAGACTGCTGATGATGGAAATTGCATATCTGTGCGCCAGAGCAGAACGCAGACAAGGGAAGTATAGTTCTGGCATAAGCCAGGGGTTTCCAGTCCTGCTCCTGGAAGGCCTGTCCTGCAGATTTTAGCTCCAATCCTAATTAAACACACCTGGATCAGCTAATCAAGTTCTTCAAGATCACTAGAAACATCCAGGCTGGTATGTTGGGGCAGTTTGGAGCTAAGCTCTGCAGGAGCAGGTTTGGACACCCTTGATTTAAGGGGTGCATAACTTATATCTAGCTACCGGAATAACAACATGTCCGCTATAATGACAGACACATTTGATGGTAAATTGCTCCTTGAGGATTTTATTACCACCACAGTGTGCACGTTTAGTATGTTGCCCAAACATTCAGATCACGACCACAAATATCACATGTAGTTTTCCAAAATTCTACTACAAAATGCACATAGTCCAATTTTATCACTTAAAACTCATCTTTGATCCCCAATCACAGTGAATGATGTCTACTTTGAGCCGTCAAACACTGCAGTTGTAGCTGAGATAGGAAAAGTCGAGAAGATGCTGTTTTCTGTTCTACAAAAGCAAATCCACTTTGATGCACTTCCAAAGGATGAGTACTCACGCTGGTAAATTGCCCCCTCGAGAATGTTATTTCCACCACAGTATGCACGTTTAGTATGTTGACCAAACAATTAGATCACGACCCAAAATTATTTGGTAACATTACAAAATGCACATAGCAACGTGTGATTTTTGACAACATGCAAACAAACTACATGGAGAAAGAGCTTGTGGCCACGTGTGGTTCTTCCACTCAGTTTCATTGGTTGCTGGTCAATGTTGCTGTCTTGCTTGTTGGAGACAGTGTACTACAAGTTTGAAATTCATAGCATTCATAGCATCTCTGACTACTTGGAGCGTGCTATACAGATGGCAATGTTGTCAAAGCGATCCCCGTTCACACGGATCATTGAAAATGACTAAAACTGCTGTATTATTCATGCCAGGCCAGTAGTTGGCGATGTCACTTTGTAAAGAAACACTACGCGCCTATAGACAGAACACTAAATACACGTGCGCATGACGTCACCGTGTAAACTTCAAAAACATGAATTTGTAAAAACGGTATCGTTTCCAAAAACATGAACTTTGAAACCGGTTTTCAGGCCCCCAAAACGCCACTGTCGTGTAAATGAACGGACCGTAAAGTAGGGGGCTTTTGAAGGGCTTCCTTCCTCAGTACTTCAGTTCTAACTCTGCTGCAACACACCTGCCCTGTTATTTTCAAGTAATCCTGAACCAGCTAATTAAGGTGCTCATGTGTGTTTGATTTAAGGCTGGAGCTAAATGAGTGCTAGGCAACTCTGGCCCTCGAGATCCACTTTCCTGCAGAGTTTATCTCCAATCCTAATCAAACACACCTGAACAAGCCAATCGAGATCTCTAGGATGACTAGAAAGCTACAAGCAGGTGATTTTGATGCTGAACTCTACAGGAAAGTGAAACTTGAGGGCCCGAGTTGCCCAGTCCTGAGTTAAACTCTGCAGCTTGGGAGCTCTTCAGGAGCTGGGTTGGCGACCCCTTATCTAGAGTAACTTCTTGTGAAGTTTTCGTCAGCTATAAATAACCCTTCCCCCGACTGAATCTACAGGCCAACCAATCGCTGGCACAGAGATGGAACACTATTAACAGAGAAGAGCTACAAAATAAACAACAAAGACAGAACCCTTATGCTGCCGAATGCCAGTCCTGACGACAACGGCCTCTACTACTGCTGTGCAAAGAACGCAGCGGGCCAAGTGTGCAGCAATGGCAACTTCACACTCAACATCATAGGTATGCGTGCTTCTCATTGTCTAATTGAACCACAGGCACTTATATTATATACAGGCACTATAATTTAAGTTTTACGTTCCCCTTATGTAATGAATGGCATTGATCTCCCTCTGTAGATAAGAGTTTTCCTCAACCCGTGGTGAAGCCAGAGGATTTGGTGGTCATGAAGAATGAGGAAGCGCTTTTCCACTGCCAGTTCACGGCTGAACCGCTGCCTACCGTTGAGTGGTACCATGAGAATGAGCTGGTGGCCAACAAGAGCCGGTACTACATTTCAATTCAGTTTGCGTGTAATTACTAGAAATTTTGTTCTTTATAAAGTTTGAAAAAGATATTTGCTCTTAAAATGAATGCAACTTTAGAAACATGTGAACTGCTTTAATTGTGTATTCAAATAGAACAGTTGGATTCTGAAAGTAAAAATCCCATTCATTTGCTTTATAGGAATTCATTAAATAGTGATACATTTATTTGAGATTTTTTAACACTGCAAATTAGCTCACACATTGGGTCTCATTCATGAAACATTTGTAAATATACAAGTAAATATGAGAGTGATTTGCGAGTAAAGAGACCTTCCCGAAAACTCATCTCCTGATTCACAAATACTTCGTAAACGTCAGATGTGATAGTGAAATGTGTGTGTGTGTTAATGAATTCCAATCAGTCGCAAATGGGATGCGCGTGCACGCTCATTCTCAATTACCATAAATCCCGCCCATTAAATCTGACTGACAACTATATATGGGCATCATATTATGACACCAAACGAAGGATTTCAACGTCTTCTCAAAAACGAATGAAAAAGAAAAATTTCTCAGATGCAGAAATCGAAGTTTTATTATCAGAAGTTCATTCAAAACACCACATTTTATCTTCAAGCGTAGGCTACATAGTGGCGTATCAGGTCCTAAAAAAAGCAAGCTTGGCAGTATATTACAGATGCAGTTAATGGAGATTCATCTGTTAATCAAACAGTCCCAGAAGTAAAAAGAAAAACCGTATGTAATTACTATATATAATATTTCTTCAAAATGCTGTGTAAATATGTACCCGATTAAGGGGAATTAAAATGCAGCCTTAGTCATTAATGAGCAAAACGTTCGGGTGTTAAGCGCACTGTTTACGCGTGGCTGGAGAAGGTGTAGATTTCTTTCGTACCAACTAACATTTGGAAAATACGAACATTTTAATGAATTCGAAAATTTACGCCAGAACAACTTTACACACGATTTACACAAAAATTCGTTCTGCTCGTGTTTCATGAATGAGACCCATTGTGTGAAAATAAATACACCAGCCATTGTAGCATTTGTCAGCCACTTGTTCTGTCCATGATGATTATAAACTGATAATGTATGGATGCATTTCCTCTATTTCTCCTACAGTGTCTTTATTCTGAGCAATGGATCCCTCTTCATCACTCAGGTGAAGCAGCGAAACACAGGCCAGTATAAATGTGTGGCACAAGGACCCCGTGGCCCTCCTGTCTCTCTCGAGGCCTCGCTGCGAATCGCAGGTAACAAGCTGAGACCTGTTCATGTGGAGTTAGACATGCAGTGGTGTAGTGTACAGGCCTCTTTGGCCCATATAATCAAACGTATGTAGGAGCGAGAAATATCAGAGGGATTACCCATGAGTTTATTATTGCATTTTAAATTCATTTTGATTTTCAAACATGTCAGGGTTATAACTTATTAAACGAATGAAATTGAAAAAAGAATAACAAACCTCAAAGCTTCACTACATAATATTTTACAACTTTTAACCGCCAAATCAATGTCATGTCAACATCAAGAAGCATGCAGGAAAAAACAGGAAGTGATGTTATATAGACAGAGGACCCCTGTAGACATTTGACTAATTTGATCTTTTTTTTATATATATATATATGCTATGGTAACACACCATAGTGTGGTGTTAAATTAAGACTTGTCTTGAAAGTGGCATAAAAGTTTTTAAAAGTGCCCCTATCCCCCCAAATATTACATTTCATGCAGTGTGTAATACTAGCTGCTTGTGAATGTAAAAGAGCTGTGAAGTTTTAAAGATCAAATAAAGTTATCGTCCCCTAAAAGAAAGAATCAGTTCTGAACTGCTGAAACAAGTTAATTCAAGTAATTCCAGTCTCACTTCCTGTTACAAACCCACGTAACAATGTTAAACATTTGCATAATGCCTGTCTATGGTTTTCATTGGCTGCCCATGAATGATGTGTACTTTGACCCTCAAACACTGTAGTTGAGACAGAGACTCCAAAATAGCATAATAAGGGCGCTTTAAAGAAGTCCTTAAGGTATGGAATCGTTAAGTGGAACCCTAATAATAATCCTACTGTGTCTCACTGGTACTGTCTAGTGGCCCTCCCATACTGGTGAACTCTGGGATCCTGATGCAGTAAATCTTCAGAGCGATTAACTGCGGCTTCAGTGATGAAGCTCATCTAATCCCTTTCTGTTTCCAGCACCTGCTTGAGTGCTTTTACAGGACTGAGCCGCTTACACAGCTCAGATGTCATTGTTTTCACCGAATAAGGGGCTGCTTAAGAGTCCATGTTTTGCTCTCAAACGTCTCCATCTAACCTGTTTCGTGTCTGCGTTTTCCCCTCAGAAATCGAGGACATGATGCCTAAACAGTCCAGGGTGTTCACCGGAGACTCTCTGGAGCGAGTGACATGTCGACCTCCCCATGGGCACCCGGAGCCAGAGGTTTGGTGGGAACATGCGGGACAGCGAGTTCCACCCACAGGCAGAGTATCCCAGGATGGACTGGACCTGATTTTCAGTCCCACTCGTGGCGAAGACTCTGGGATCTACACGTGTTTTGCACTAAACAAGGCTGGACTGAAGAAACAAGAGTTGACGGTCACTGTGGCCAGTAAGTCTCAGGCCAGAAACACTCAGATGTGAATGCTTGGCCAAAGTTTTGCAAGTGCCTGTTCTTCTGTTAGTGTACGCAAAGGTGGTGACAGTTTTCTTCAAATGTCTGTGCCATTGTTTAACTGATTTGGTCAGCTCTTCAAACTGTTGCTGTGCCATTAAAGTAGTTGACCTGAAAGGGATACCTGTGCTAATAGAGCACTAAGAGACATTTCAGCACGCAACAACGCAAAATAAGTCAAGCTTGTGTTCCTCAATGCATTTAATGTGCGTATTTCAGTAGCATATGTTTCGGGCCCAACTGTCCTCTACTGAATATCTCACATTCCACCAACTTTTCTTCATAATGGCCAATACTACCTTATGAATGTGATCTTCGACATGAAGTCAAGAAAGTCTGTTAGTGTGACACAATAGGACCTTTCAGGACTTTAAATAAATTACTACTCTCAGTTGAAAAACTTCTCTTGGAGACTCGTCAGCTGAAGTAACCAGAGTTGAATGATTGGATACAAGTTTATGCAGAAATAAAAGAAATATTCCTTCACCAGATCACTGCTGTAAAAGTGTGACGTGATGATGTTTAAACTGATGCCATGATTCCTGTTGTGATCCTGAACATCTGTTTTGCGTGTGCAGCCAAACCGGAGTGGGTCCAGAAACCCGTGGACAGCCAGCTGGAGGAGGGGCGCGCCGGGTACCTGCACTGCCACACACGCGCCACGCCTGAACCCGAGGTCACGTGGTACCGCAACATGCAGCCAATCACCGCAGAGGTGAGGGGGACAGTGACGTCATGCTGATATCATATTTGTAATGCGATCTCTAGCTGTGTCCTGAGGCCAGTGAAACCTTTTGATGTTTCTGAAAATGAAGATGTGGTGATTTTTCTACTGGGGAAAGACGATCCTCTGCTGCACCGTAGATCATGAAGCAAATATTAACCCTCATGTTGTTTTCCGGACATTTTGACCTGGAGAGGATTTTCTTTTTCCTGAAATCTTATTGCATTACTGACTTTAGTCACATGTATAACAACTAATCTTGATCATTTTTGTACTTTTTGGGTTGTTTTTTTTCATACCTTGTTCCACATGTGATGTCCCTGGTGAATAATGACTGGCCTACAAAAAATTCCTTATGAATCTGTCAGTATGCTATGTCATTAACAGTTATTGGAGTCAATCTTTTTGTGCACTTGTTTTCTTTCAATTAAGACAGGCTTTGTATTTAGAGGCCAAGCACCGAAGGTGCACAAGCAACTATTGTATCCATTAGTCGTGTCCTCCTTCCTCCTCCTCCTCCTGCTGCTCTTGAGTCTATTTCAGCCCATAGAACCGTATGCTAAAAAGTTATGAAATTTGGCAGAGACGACAGTCAGAACATTAACCATAGCAAATTTGGAGTCTCTACCTCAATCCCTATAGTGCCACCAATTGTCGAAAGTTGCACTCATGTTTATGCTAATAACTTTTGGACCGTAAAGGACAAAATTATTTTTTTCTCTCTGATTCCATGGCTTAAGACGATTAGATTAGACGTCATTTTCTGAAAAACCTACCTTTTTGAACTCCTAGTTACTCAGATGTTTAAGGTTTAACCAGATCATCGTCAGACTATGCCGACAAAAATTATGGAAATCAAGTTGATTCTGCAAAACGTTTTTGAATAACGCACAAACAAAAATGAACTTGAGCCTATATCTCTGTAATGTATTCATTTTCGTATTCTGACCAAACTTGGCGTGTGTTATGGCAACCATGATCTGAGGATAGCTGCATAATTTCGGAGCAGTGCCACCTATTGATCAGGAGATATGAAAAATATAAAATTGCCCATTTTGGGCATCTGCCATTTTGAATTGTCGTAAAACGCAATATTTTACGAACACGTTTGCATATTACAGAACTCTGTATGACCTGTAGGTAGTCAAAGAGTTTAGAGACAGCGCCACCATGTGGTAAATTATAATGACAATTCAACAAATTGTAATAACTTTTGATACATTTTGGCTACTTTATTAAAAATGGTTTTAATGGATTCTTTTGGTCATGCCGACAACATAAATACTAATTTTGCCATAGAGTCCATGAGTCGGCCAAACATCCTGTCATTTTGATTTTGACCTTATGCACCTCAGTTTTTGAGTGAAAAAAGTTCACTCAAGCTTGTTCACCTAAAAAAACCTGAAGTTCAAACAGATTAAATCCAATATTTGGGAATAACATGGCATAATGAGAGATTTATAAGCAATTTTTCAGAGACTGGTCATTTTTGACTGGAAACACCAAATTAGGATTTTCAACACAGCACAAAAATACCAAGTTCTGGCATGAAGCTGTAGATGGCGCAGGCTGATCCTTAACTCAGGTCCTTAACTCATTTGGTAGCGATCGTGTCTTCATCTACATATAGCGCAGCTGATTGGTTGCTGTTGGATCAGTGTCAACATTCAAACAAATACCGCGCTCTCAGAAACCCTGCTCCTTCCCCAGCTCCACCTGTATAGATCTGCTACGGGGGTTATTTCATTTGTTACATGTGCAGCTGCATGTTTTACATGCTCACTCACAGGCACAGCAATGCCATGCCAATCCCTCAAAGAGTTGTCATGACAGTAATGTTGTTATCATGTAGTCTTTTTATTTAAATGTGCCTAACACACACGCTCTCTTTGTGTTTTCTAAAGGACGTTCGCTTCAAGCTCTTCTCCAATGGAACTTTGCGCATAAATAACGTGGAGGTGTATGACGGCCATCTGTACGGCTGTGAGAGCAGAACGGAGGCGGGAAAACTGAATGCCCAGGCACGGGTCTATGTACTCGGTGAGGGACATTTGTTACGTGCTGATTGTTGTTTGGTAGTGGTTTTTTTTTTTGATTGCCTGAATGTCAAGGGGGCTGATAAAATGCCTATAATATATAAAAGCCTTTGAGGCTGTGCGGTTCAGAGCACTTCTCACCAAGTGCTCGCTGTTACGGTATCTGTTTCAGAGCGTCTGAAGTTCACGCCGACGCCGCAGGCCTACCAGTGCCTGGAGTTCAACAAGGAAGGACATCTGCAGTGTTCTGCCAAGGGCCGACAGATCCCCACCATCCGCTGGATCAGAACAGGTGTGCAGAGAAAGAAAGATGCAACTTTACTACTTTGTGAATTGTTACCCCAACAGCTTTCAAAATAAATGTGTGGAATATTGAATAAACCTAAGACTTAATATCCTAATCTGTATATACTGTAACATATTTGCACACCCTAAGTCATAATTTTCAAGGTGAACATTTCACAAAACTAAAATGATTTGAACAATTCTGACACTTTGTGATTCTCAACGATTGGTGAAACATGTTCATAGTTAATGTGATGAACCAACTGTTTACTCTTGAGGGAAAGTGATGCATCCAAGTTAGGACTGAGAAAAACTTACGCAACACGTTTCATATTTTGTTACCTAATGAAGTGATATTCGGACATTTTGCGTGACTTGTCCAGAAATATTTTGATGCCACTGTACGTGTTACAAAAAGTTAAACTAGGGCTGTCACGATTCCTCGATTAAATTAAAGTACTCGATTTAAAAAAAAAATCTCGATAGCAAGTTACGCAAAATACCGGAAGTGGCGCGTTCCACAGACGAGAATCCATGAACCGCATTATTAGGCCGTTTTCTAAATATGCGAATTGTTGTTCATCGCGATTTCAAAATGAAAGTTTAAGCCTTCGCTCTGAGTTTGCGTGTTTTGATGTCCACATATTCCTCTTGAAGATAATACAGTGGCTGTAGCATCTCTATTGTAAAGTAGACAAAGATTAAGTAAACATTTGAATTAAATATCGTTTGGCCAATATTAAACAAGGATTTGATCTGCTGTAAAGTGTAACAACACCAGGCCGTTGTCGCCATCTGCAGGCATTTGTTATAATACATATTGTACATAAGATGATTGTTTATATTGCTGTATGTATTTTAACAGTGTTGTTCTATGAAAACATATGATTAGTTGCTTTTGATACTTTATTTGAACCAAATATTATTGCCTCGTTGTTATTATATATGAAGAGTTTGGTTCCAAAACGCGATAAACGCCATTTAAAAAAAAAAATTAGTTACTGCAAAAATCAGTATTGTATCTGGTTGGTATTGAAAAGTCAATCTTTAATTTTAAGTAAAATGCGATATCCGCCGTGTTATTCTGTCATGTTTTCTCCCTTTCTTTCCAAACCGCGACAAACGCCAGTCTTCCTTCTCTGCAGAATGCGATATATCCGCTCTCAACCAATCACAACGCACCATTCCACGCAATAACGGCTTACCACAAAATACCCGGCTTCCTAGTTTTGCTTATCTATTTTGTACTTTTCGATCAACAAACAAACAAAAAAAAAGAATAATTTTGACGGCATTGATGAACCTGTGGTTTTTTCTGCGGTGGGTGAGAAACGTAAGGCATCGAAATCGAATCATTTAAGTGAGGAGATTAAGAAGATGAGGCACTCCGGAGGAGGAAAAATGTTTTCAATCTTCTTTACAGTTCTATTTTGAACAGTTTTACACATATTTTATATTAATGCAATGGATTTAATAGTATGCACAAGACAACAAATTCAGTGTATAAAATGAATGGGATTTTTGTTCATTGTTTAAAACTTGAAGCATAACTCTGCCATTATTCAACCCATAGCCCTGTTGAGCAAGGTCACTGTGAGCTATTGATAGCTATTCCTTTACCTATGGTTGTGGTGACCTTGCTCAACAGGGCTAGGGGTTGAATAAAAATCTTTTAAAAAATCTTATAGGCCTAAACAAGTGATATAAAATTGATACTATAATATGTGAATCTTTGAAAGTAGCCTACGTGTTTTTGTCTGTGAAAACTTACTAAAAATATTATACTAATAAACTTACGTTGTTGTGTATTTTCAACAGTTTCAATATGGAAAAAAAAAACTTTTATGTTGATTCAATGGATTTATTGCATTTTGGGGAAAAAATCATCCGTTTTTATAATAAATCTTTGAAAATCAAAACCTGGATTTTTTTTTTTTTTTTTTTTGTTATGACCTAAAAATGCTATGTGAAAGTTTGAAACAGAAAATAGTGGTTTTCATCTTTCCACTTTCTTGGTAAAGAAAACACATTTTTACTCAAATTAATCTAAATGGATTTATTGCGTTTTGGAACCAAACTCTTCATATGTATTTTAAGTCATTTTAAATGCTTAGGTCTATTTTTACCACAAAATATCCAATTACTCAATTAATCGTCAAAATAATCGATCGATTACCAAAATCATCATTAGTGACAGCCATAAACGAGATATCTGGTTTATGTACCTTTAAACTCCAAATATCCTTTAAAATTCTTCCCTTTTAACCTCTCAAAAAAGTCTTCTTTTTTTTTTAGCAAACTTTGGCTGAATCTGAAGCTAAAACTATCATATCTGATTTAGCAGCAAGGTCCCTTCTCTGGATTCTGTCAACTTTATGTAATTGTCATAATTATTATATTATATATATTGTGACAATTGACTTGAATCTTTAATTATCTTTTTAATCAGCTATTAGATGTTATAAAAGACTTAGGATTCGGTGTAAACACAAATCATATTTAGGTTATAAATGACTGTAAAATTATGAACTTCTCCACTTGGTTAAGAAATTGTGTGTCCTTGAAATGGGAAACAACTGGTGCTGGAAAAATAGATGTTGATGTAGTGAGTGTGTGTGTGTGTGTGTGTGCAGATGGCAGTGATATCCCAGTGTTGGTGGAGCAGCAGAGGGGCACACTGCACTTCACCAAAGTCACACGGGCCGACGCGGGCAACTACACCTGCCTGGCCTCCAACGATCAGCAGGGAGAGATCAGAGCAGTCGTCCAGCTCACCGTCGCAGGTACAGCGGACACAGAGCTAGCTGTGGTTGATGGAACTAATTCATGCACTTCTGTTTCCCTTGATCTCCATCTTTTTGTATCCTTTGACTCTTAACTCCTTTCCCATTCATTAGTTTATGTGGCGTTTAAGCTCAAGCCAGAGAATACCACAGTATATCAGGGACACACTGCAGTACTTCACTGTCAGGCCACTGGAGACCCTCATCCCTTTATCCAGTGGAAGAAAAAAGACAAGTTTCTGGAGGCAGACAAGAGCAGGTAAATCACAAACATCATCACAATTTCGTCTTTCTCGAGTTCAAACTGAAGCGGGTTCATTTGAAGATGTCAGATATTACAAATTTGAACATTTCAGTGCTGATTCCTCTTGATTATTTCTGATTCAGATTCCAGAAGATGCCCAACGGCTCTCTGGTCATTCATGACGTCAGCACGGAGGACACTGGGAGCTACACTTGCATCGCAGGGAACAGCTGTAACATTGCACACACTTCGGCAGAGCTCTACGTTGTGGGTGAGTCCGACACCCTCCACGTTCTTCAATTATTAGTTAGGAGCCATCAAATCGGTTGGTTTTGTTATTTTCTGGATGGGTGTCCATTGCAGCTCCTAAAACTGGAATGGTTTTACAATTTGGCTCATGGTATCAACACCTGTCATGCCGAATTTAAGGTTTATTTCAAACCCTCTGGCACCACCAACAGTTTTAATTTGCATGTACATTTAAAGTAATTTGATTTCAATGATTTGCTCGGCCAAATTTTTCCAATGTCACCAAGCACTTATTTTTAACTCCTTCTGGTTATATTTTGGTACCCACTTTTCATCATCCAATTCCTTATGGATTAAATGTTTTTTTTTATCATTGAATTCAATTTCTCTTTAGAATGTGTAAAATGCAAATTGCAAACTTTGAACTTTGTTGAAAACATAGTTTTCCAACTTCTATTGCATTCTTTGGCTATTCCCTAAATTTTGGTCAGATTATGTTGAGGCTATCCTAGTTAAGTTATTAAAAGCTGTTTTTAAGTTTCCTGAGCAATTGCAAAACAGAGCCACATTCCCAAAAAAACACAAAATTATATGTTTGAATACTTGGCACTGAATTAAATGATCTTGAATGCCAACTTTCAAGGTCGACCAGATTGCCTGTCTACCATTTTGAATTTTGTCAAAAATGTATCTGTGAAGACACCAAACAGAAAATAAAGATGCAGTCATTTGCGAATTTTCACGAACAAAAAAGGTCTGTTGTCAATAGTTTAGCATTGTTTGAAGCACAGCTCACACAAGTCACTTTCAAACCAAACAGCTTTCTGCTGGTCAACACTGCAAAATCTGTGTGACCAACTTGAACTAGTTTCAAAATTTGAGTGAATAAATTTCCTATTGAAATGACTGGGATTTCACTCACTCTTCCAAACTATTCTAACTCAAAGAGAAAATGTTTTTAAGTAAAGACTGAAGTGTTGTCAGAAGCTTAATGGTGGCGATGTTGAAGTCATGTGATGTGGTGTAATTCATTTTTAGTCTAACTTTGGCATTTACTTTTGGAGATTTGAATTTATAAATTCATAGATTGTTGATTTGTGAAGATTACCATGATGAACAAATTGTGTAAGAATAAACTTTTGTTGGTCACAGAGCGTATTTTTCTGCAATATTTTAAAAACAATTGGACAAAAATACTGTAATACAGTTTCAAATGGACAAGCACTTTGAAAGTTCACCCTAAACTAATTTTGGCCTGTCAAGGACATACCAACTCAATTTCCAGATTAAGTTGAATTACAAACTCTTTAAGTCTAGTGGCGGCGGTGACTTCAAAGAAAGGAGAGGCACTTAAACATTTTCTGTCTTTTGGTGAGAGTTCAGGACTGTTAGATCCTAATTGAATGTTCATGCCAGTGTGTCACTTGATTCCTATAAGGAGACTATTTAAGTTGGGATAAAAAGAGATTCAGGAGTTAAACCACTTCCTATAAGGAGACTATTTAAGTTGGCATAAAAAGAGATTCAGGAGTTAAACCGCTTCCTATAAGGAGACTATTTAAGTTGGGATAAAAAGAGATTCAGGAGTTAAACCACTTCCTATAAGGAGACTATTTAAGTTGGCATAAAAAGAGATTCAGGAGTTAAACCGCTTCCTATAAGGAGACTATTTAAGTTGGGATAAAAAGAGATTCAGGAGTTAAACCACTTCCTATAAGGAGACTATTTAATAGGGGTGTGACGAGACGCTTATCTCACGAGACGAGACTAGACACGAGATTGGGTTCACGAGAACGAGACGAGACGAGATTTTTGCACAATTTTTCAGAAATCCTCAATGACAAAATTCATGGCTGGAAAAATAGTATGCAGGTGCATTTTTCAATGTTTTAACTAATAATCTTCTAATGCATGTCATTTCAGGTCTACTTTATGAGTATGAATTATCAAATGCATTGAAAGAAAACAATATTCAAGCACTGTAAAAGGTTTTTATTGACTGGCTTTTCTCCTGTATAATTTCACATTAGTCTCTTCAGACCTTACTGTACATTTAAGAGCTTTCAGAACTTCTGATTGAGGCTGTGTGTGACCTCCTAACTGAACTCCTTTTAACACACATTTAACAGAGAAATAAAAACCGTATAAATAACAAAAATAAATAACTGTTTTCTCTTAGTCTTATTAAGTGCAAACAATAAGTGCGAGTGCAACCATAATCAAAGTTAGCACACAGACTCTTTATAATTGTTGTGAAATTGCGGTTTTATTTTGCACCGGCAGTTATAGGGTTAATGCGGTGAGTTGGGAAAAGGCCGAGAGAAACGAGGCTGTTTGTCTCTACAGTTGTTCTTGCGTTCCGATTATAAGTTCAGAAACGGAGCCTCCCTTGTCTGTTGTCCTTTGTACGCTACAGTGCTCTCTCAATATTCGCAGTGCCAACAGAGACCAGAGCCGCAAATAAACAGTCCAGAGATGGGTATTGGGAGACGGATTATTTTATGAATGCAGCCTAATTTGTGCGCAATGCACATCAGGGAGCTTGTGTTTTACTTTCACTTACAAATTCGTGACCGCGCGTATAGGGAGCAGCGGTGCTGAGCGCGCATTCTAAATGATAAGACATTTACCAGACGTTTAGTCTGTTGCGCAACGAATCCTCCGCCATCGTCACGCGATCAGAGAACTGTGATTCGTGCTGCACTGATTGCAACGGCAACTCGCGCTGGATGAGCAGAGCAGACTTTTGCATTAGTTTATAATGGTTTTTATTTTTTTATAAAAACAACAAAACGATAGTTTAGGCGAATGTGAGTGTAGCGGTGGAATATTAATGGGGATATCGCGAGACAGCTTTTTCACTCGACGAGAAATCTCGTCATATTTAGTCTCGCGAGATCTCGTGGCACGAGATCTCGTCACACCCCTACTATTTAAGTTGGCATAAAAAGAGATTCAGGAGTTAAACCGCTTCCTATAAGGAGACTATTTAAGTTGGCATAAAAAGAGATTCAGGAGTTAAACCGCTTCCTATAAGGAGACTATTTAAGTTGGCATAAAAAGAGATTCAGGAGTTAAACCGCTTCCTATAAGGAGACTATTTAAGTTGGCATAAAAAGAGATTCAGGAGTTAAACCGCTTCCTATAAGGAGACTATTTAAGTTGGCATAAAAAGAGATTCAGGAGTTAAACCGCTTCTCTATCTAAAAACCTGGTGTTTAATGTATGTTTTGTGTGTTTGGTTATCTACAGAAAAACCAGTACAGCACTCATTAGCAGATGATGAAAAGACCCCTTACAAAATGATCCAGACTATTGGTCTGTCGGTGGGGGCGGCAGTCGCTTACATCATCATTGTGCTGGGTCTCATGTTTTACTGTAAGCAGAGACGCAACGCCAAGAGACTCCAGAAGGGGCAGGACGGAGACGAGCAAGAGGTGGAATGTCTCAACGGTGTGTGGTGTTAACTTTTGTTAGCATGCAATTATGTGAATAACATAGAACCGGGTCTCTGATACAGTTCTGTGATCAACCCATAGGGGACGTACAACAGAACGGCCACACCACAGCAGAGATCCAGGAGGAGGTGGCGCTTACCAACATGGCTGCCACCGGAAACAACAAACGCCACAGCAGTCACGACAAGCTTCAGTTCCCCCGAAACAACCTGCACACCATCACAACACTGGGTACAGGAACAATCCCAAACCAAAGACCTGTTTAACATCACTAACACTTTACAATAAGGTTCATAAGTTAACATTAGTTAACATAAACTAAGGATGAACAATACTTCTACAGCATTTATTAATCTTAGTTGATTTTAATTTCAACATTTACTGACTAACATGAACAAACATGAACAAACAATGGAACAGCTGTGTATTTTTATTAACTAACATTAACACCGATTAGTAAATACTGTAACAAATGTATTGCTCATTGTTAGTTCATAAGTTAATGTTAGGTAACACATTACCTTATGAACCTTATTCAACATCACAAGTGTTCAGCCAAAACGGGGCACATTTGCATTCACCCGACGGCAGCGGTGTGGTCACATGCCTTATCGCAGAGAACGAATCAATCTACTTTGTGTTTCTCATCATGTAGGTAAAGGAGAGTTTGGTGACGTGCTGCTGGCTAAAGCAAAGGCCAGTGAGGATGAGGAGGAGATGGTCGTGCTGGTGAAGAGTCTGCAAACACGCGACGAGCAAATGCAGTTGGATTTCCGTCGTGAATGTGAGATGTTTGCTAAGCTGAGCCACGCTAACGTTGCTCGTCTGCTGGGCCTCTGCAGAGAAGTGGAGCCGCATTACATGATCATGGAGTACAGCGACATGGTGACAACAGCTCAACACTACATATCTGTCCATCCGTCTTTCTTTACACTTCATCCCTTCATCACTCTGTCCATCCAACCTTCCTGTCTGTCTATATCTTTGTCTGTCTTCTATCTATCTGTCTCTGTCGTTCTGTCTGTCTGTCTGATCGTCTTATCTATCTGTCTGTCTATCTGTCTGTCTGTCTGTCTGTCCTATCTATCTATATCTGTCTGTCTGTCCTCTCTATCTATCTATATCTGTCTGTCTGTCTGTCCTCTCTATCTATATCTGTCTGTCTTGTCTGTCTGTCCTCTCAATCTATATCTGTCTGTCTTGTCTGTCTGTCCTCTCTATCTATCTATATCTGTCTGTCTGTCCTCTCTATCTATCTATATCTGTCTGTCTGTCTGTCTGTCCTCTCTATCTATCTATATCTGTCTGTCTTGTCTGTCTGTCTGTCCTCTCTATCTATCTATATCTGTCTGTCTGTCTGTCCTCTCTATCTATATCTATATCTGTCTGTCTGTCCTCTCTATCTATCTATATCTATATCTGTCTGTCTGTCCTCTCTATCTATCTATATCTGTCTGTCTGTCCTCTCTATCTATATCTGTCTTGTCTGTCTGTCTGTCCTCTCTATCTATCTATATCTGTCTGTCTGTCCTCTCTATCTATCTGTCTGTCTGTCTGTCTGTCTGTCCTCTCTATCTATCTATATCTGTCTGTCTGTCCTCTCTATCTATATATATCTATATCTGTCTGTCTGTCCTCTCTATCTATCTATATCTGTCTATCTGTCTGTCTGTCCTATCTATATCTGTCTGTCTGTCTGTCTGTCCTCTCTATCTATCTATATCTGTCTGTCTGTCCTCTCTATCTATATCTGTCTTGTCTGTCTGTCTGTCCTCTCTATCTATCTATATCTGTCTGTCTGTCCTCTCTATCTATCTGTCTGTCTGTCTGTCTGTCCTCTCTATCTATCTATATCTGTCTGTCTGTCCTCTCTATCTATATATATCTATATCTGTCTGTCTGTCCTCTCTATCTATCTATATCTGTCTGTCTGTCTGTCCTCTCTATCTATCTATATCTGTCTGTCTGTCTGTCCTCTCTATCTATCTATATCTGTCTGTCTTGTCTGTCTGTCTGTCCTCTCTATCTATCTATATCTATATCTGTCTGTCTGTCCTCTCTATCTATCTATATCTGTCTGTCTGTCTGTCTGTCCTCTCTATCTATCTATATCTGTCTGTCTTGTCTGTCTGTCCTCTTGATCTATCTATATCTGTCTGTCTGTCTGTCCTCTCTGTCTATCTATCTATCTATATCTGTCTGTCTGTCCTCTCTATCCTCTCTATCTATATCTGTCTGTCTGTCTGTCTGTCTGTCCTCTCTATCTATCTATATCTGTCTGTCTGTCCTCTCTATCTATCTATATCTGTCTGTCTGTCCTCTCTATCTATCTATATCTGTCTGTCTGTCCTCTCTATCTATCTATCTATCTATATCTGTCTGTCTTGTCTGTCTGTCTGTCCTCTCTATCTATCTATATCTGTCTGTCTGTCTGTCTGTCTGTCCTCTCGATCTATCTATATCTGTCTGTCTGTCTTGTCTGTCCTCTCTTTCTATCTATATCTGTCTGTCTGTCCTCTCTATCTATCTATATCTGTCTGTCTGTCCTCTCTATCTATCTATCTATCTATATCTGTCTGTCTTGTCTGTCTGTCTGTCCTCTCTATCTATCTATATCTGTCTGTCTGTCTGTCTGTCCTCTCGATCTATCTATATCTGTCTGTCTGTCCTCTCTGTCTATCTATCTATCTATATCTGTCTGTCTGTCCTCTCTATCCTCTCTATCTATCTATATCTGTCTGTCTGTCTGTCTGTCTGTCTGTCCTCTCTATCTATCTATATCTGTCTGTCTGTCCTCTCTATCTATCTATATCTGTCTGTCTGTCCTCTCTATCTATCTATCTATATCTGTCTGTCTTGTCTGTCTGTCTGTCCTCTCTATCTATCTATATCTGTCTGTCTGTCTGTCTGTCTGTCCTCTCGATCTATCTATATCTGTCTGTCTGTCTTGTCTGTCCTCTCTTTCTATCTATATCTATTGTATAGCTGTCTGTATCTATCCACCTTACTATCTGTCTGTCGTTCTATCTATCTATTTATCTATCTATCTGTCTGTCTACCTTACTATCTGTCTGTCTGTCTGTCTGTCTGTCCTCTCTTTCTATCTATATCTACTGTATAGCTGTCTGTCTATCTATCCACCTTACTATCTGTCTGTCTTCTCTATCTATCTGTATATGTCTGTTGTTCTATCCACCTTTCTATCTGTCTGTCTGTCTGTCTCTCCGTCTGTCCGTCCTCTCTATCTATATCTACTGTATAGCTGTCTGTCTATCCACCTTACTATCTGTATCTATCTGTCTGTCTTCTCTATCTATCTGTATGTGTCTGTTGTTCTATCCACCTTTCTGTCTGTCTGTCCTCTCTTTCTATCAATTTCAATTCAATTCAAAATTGCTTTATTGGCATGACTGTACATAATACAATATTGCCAAAGCTTGGAATACATTGAATAATTATAAAGACATCAACATAATAAAATATTATAACACAACTTACATTTAAATGTACAATTTAAAGTGTAACAAATTAAGATATGTGTGAACATTTTATACCACTGTGTTTACACACACACACACACACACACACACACACACACACACACACACACACACACACACACACACACACACTACTGAGGGTCACTGTGGTGGACAGTAGGGAAACACTGAGGTCAGACACACAGATTACACACACATTCACCTGCTGTCTCTCAAGCTGTGACACACACACACACACACACACACACACCTATCTGTCTGTCTAACATCTATCTGTCTCTGTCGTTCTATCTGTCTGTCCTCTCTATCTATCTGTATCTGTCTGTCATTCTATCTATGTATCTATATATATATATATATATAAATGAATGTGACTTTACTCTATCTATCTATCTATCTATCTATCTATCTATTATCTATCATCTATCTATCACAAATGGCTTTATACTAGTTGTATTTTGAAGTGTTGATTGAAATGTTATTTCCTTAGAAGCATTTCTCCTAGTTTAGTTTTATTTATCTGTGTGATTTCCAGGGTGATCTGAAGCAGTACCTGAGGGTGTCCAAGAGCAAAGATGAGAAAGTCAAAGTCCAGCCGCTCAGCACCAAACAGAAGGTAATTAATAACTACTATATAACTGATGACCTGTCTGATGATAGGGACATTCATAGACAGTATTGTATGTTGTATGCACAAGCTAATATGCTGAATCGCAAATTTAGTATGTGCTCACTTTTTGTGAAGACTACACTTTTTAAAGTCCCCATGAATTCAAAATTGACCATACTTACTTTGTTTGCCTAAATTGATCGTTTTGTGGTGAACAATTCCTCCATGCAAGTCAATCCACACAAAACATTTTTTTGGCTTCGTAATCTTTAATCAAATTTTGAAAATGCCCCTCCCCTCTGCATTGGAGGACCTTCCCTGATGACGTAGGCTTTACGGTTTGGGCGTCTGCTTAACATCCGTAACCACGCCCCTCCAACTAGACAGGCTGAATGAAAACACCTACTTTTCTAGATCCAATCAGGTGCTAGTTGGGGAAAAAAGCCACGCCCACTATTTTGCCTCATTTAGTATTCCGTTTCTCTCGGAAATACGTCACAACACTGGAGAAAAGTCGTTTGCAACTTCCGGTTCATGGGGACTTTAAAGCTTTTTGTACGCCGATGTATAAAAAAAGCAGTATGCAGAAACTCAAGGTGGCATATAATGATGGTTTGAGGCTGCTGCTTAAATTGCCACGAGGGGGCAGTGCGAGCCAAATGTGTGTAAGTGTCAATGTATTCACGTGTCATGCTGTACTCAGGAATCTCATGTACAGATGTATGTGTAGACTAGTAGAGTCACATAACAGCATCATCGCAACACTAGTGAACCCTGCATTGAGTGCAGTTAGGTTCACTTCGGGTTTGTGGAATCACTGGCGCTTTAGTCTATATGCCAATATTTGAACACTTTTTTTGTGTATTGTGGAATTTTGACTGTAGTCATTTTTTACTATTTTTTATCTTTTTTTTCTATTTTGTATACTTTATCTTGTATAGTGCTATGGACCATTTTATATGTGTGTCCTGAATAAGAAAATGATGATGATGATGATATCCCTCGTCTCTCATATAAACACACACACACGCGTATCAGGACGAACCCCTCTCTCTCTGCCGTCAGGTGTCGGTGTGTCTGCAGGTCGCTCGAGGGATGGAGCACCTGTCCAACCAGCGCTTCGTCCACAGAGACCTGGCCGCCCGCAACTGCCTCATCTCTGCCAAACGCCAGATCAAAGTGTCCGCTCTGGGCCTCAGCAAAGACGTCTACAACAGGTGCAGCTAAACACAGCCAGAGACACGTTTACCACTTTAAATGAATGATGATTTAATCATTGTCCTGTAATCCGGGTTTGAAATTAACTTTTTCACTCACCGGCCGATTTGGCTACTTGGTTTAAGTTACCGGCCATTCAGAACTTCTACTAGCCACGAAAAAAAAAAAGAAATGAACCAGATTAACTAAGTCACAGATATATATATATATATATATATATATATATATTGGAGTATTAATGAGTGTATATTAATACAATTTCATACATTAATTTCTTATTCAAACAAAATCCTGTCATCAGCATCTCCTCCCTTCCTCTTTCATCCTCAACAAACATGTGTTTTAGGTGGACAGATCAATACAGCACAAAGAACTTCAACAAATGTAGGATGTCGGAAAACAGCAATGTCTTTTCTGTCAACCAAATGCTTTTTAATCTTCGCTATTGCTTCAATGCAAATGAACAAGCACGCCGTTATTTGTTGTGTAGAGACGTTTGTTCAAGTAAGCCAGATATGAGCAGCTGTGTTTAATATATCATGAGGACTCACGAGTTGGCTCGAGATTTGGCTTGCACGAACTTCCCCAGCAAAGTGAGTAAACATAATAAGTAACACGGCAAATTGGCTCGTGATTTGACAGCGTCACCCGCCACAGTTGATTGTTCATTTCAAACCCTGCCTGTAATGATTGTCCGTGTGCTTGTTTCACGTGCACTGCTCCCCCTTGTGGTGACAGTCATCATTGTTTCTTCTGTGTTTGTGTACACAGCGAGTACTACCATTATCGCCAGTCCTGGATTCCTCTGCGCTGGCTGCCATCCGAAGCCGTCTTTGATGACGACTTCTCCACCAAGACGGACGTGTGGTCGTTCGCAGTGCTCATGTGGGAGGTCTTCAGCTTTGGGGAGCTGCCGTACGCTGATCTATCGGATGATAAAGTCCTAGAAGGTGTGGTATAGTCTCAGGAAAAAGTGAGACGGGTTGCACATTGGCTTCCGGTTGTGTTTTGTCCCTGACTGTCTGTGTTTGTGTGTCCGTAGCTCTGCAGGAAGGCAAGCTGAAGTTGTCTCCTCCTCAGGGGTGTCCATCTCGCGTGTTCAAGCTGATGGTGCGCTGTTGGGCCGCCAGTCCCAAAGACCGACTGTCTTTCAGCGACATCACCTGCGCCCTCAGCGACCTGCCCTCCGAGAGCAAAGTCTGAGAGGACGGGATCATCCGTCAAGCCATGATGGAAAAACCTCCACATCAAAAATTCTGGCTCAAGTGTCTTGCCTCGAGAAAAAAGACTTGTTTTATTATCAACCATCTCTTCCTTTTTTATATATATATACTGTATATGTTTAATAAAATGTTTTCGAAGGTTCCTCCAACATTTGGTTTTAAATGGGGTTTGTCTATCACTTCTCAGTTTGAGTTTGCCCACTCAAAACGAAGAAATGTAGTAAATGGTGCGTTTGTAATACCAAACCATGCACTGACCAATTTTATATTTTAGAAGGATTGTCTCGGGAGCCTCTTAATTTATTTAAAAGGTCCTGTTTGTTCAATGTACAGAAAGGTACTGTTTATATGACTTTTTTTATGATGTTTATGAGTTTAGCCTTTTTTTTTATATATAATTCAGAAGTACTCATAGAAACAACTGTTGAGAAAACCATGTTTATAAAATGACTTCAAGTTCAAATTTCAAGTGCCTGTAAAATGAAGGATGTCTTGACTTTAGTATGCTGTATGTTACGACTTGGAAATGCCTTGAATGTTTTGTTTTTTTATATATATATATACATTTATAGTGTTTTTATTGCTTAGTCCAGTGTTTTATCTTGTAATTGCTACCCACACGTTACATATCGGTTTCTATAAAAGTCCAGAGGTCTTCTTGACTCTGGGGAAAAAAGTGAACACACACTTCTGTCGCATACTCTGCTGTTGCAATAAAACTTCACTTTTAACAAAGCTTGTTTGATTTCGTGTGATGTCATTATTATTCTTTTTTTTTAACCAACTGTATCAAGGAAAATTTAAAAGGGACCTTTTACAAAGTCTTGATTTTATTTTTGGGCTCTACTTGGATAGATTCCACGCTTAAATGTTCAAAAACACCTTATTTTCCTCATATTCTCCATTGTTGCGGCTCCTCTCTTCCCAGTCTGTCAGTAACGCTCTGTTTACTTCCTGTCTCTATGAAGCCCCTCCTCCTGAAAAGCACACTGTGCTCTGATTGGTCGGCTGGATCAGTGTGTTGTGATTGGACAAGCGCTTCGAGTGTGTTTGGGAAATGTACCGCCCCTTTACTATAAACGGCAGTTTAAAAAAACTAAACCACGGCTGCGTCTGAAATCACATACTCTCTTGAGTAGATGCTTATTTTGAATAAGTTATTACTTCACGACCGTTAAAAAAGTATGTTCTAAAGTAGTATGAATGTAATCTGGACCTACATTCGCCATGTTGTCATTATCATGTGACCTACCAGCATCGCTTCACTGTCGTTCATAAATCCTCTCCCGTGGCCTCATGGGATAGTAAAGTGTCCATCGTATACACACTTCAGAATCTCACTGGTAGTAGGAGGTAATCCGGGGACTTTTTGCCTACTCTTATGAGTACTGTGAATTCAGACATACTTCTTTTGTCACACACTGTTTTTCGCCTACTATATAGCAGGGAAGCAGTTCTCAATTTTGGATGCAGCCTGCTAACTAAATCAGCCAGGCCCCGCCCCCTTATTTTGCTAATGCCTTGGGCGGGAATTATTATAATGAGGAATATTGTGACGCGTTCGTTCCTGGAAGAAAACTCAAGACTACAATGGAGGCGTTTCAGGGAGTTCAGAAACACTGACACTGATATAGAGAATAACTGCCTTTGCAGAGCTTTTTTCATGTTCAAACAGAACATTACACACTAAAGTAAGATGAAGTTGGAAAAAGCATAATAGGTCCTCTTTAAAACCTGTTAACCGGCTAACAGTAAGTTATTTTATTATGTTTCTCCGGAAACTCAGGGTCACTCCCACGGCTCATCTGACATGTTCAGACTGGACAGTAGTATGAGACCGGTGTGCTCACTGACTCCCTCTGGTGGCTGTAGAGTTCGCACTTCTCATCCCACACTGAAACTCAGGGGCCGGTTTCACAAAGCTATTTTAGACCGGTCTATAGTGTTAGACAAGTCTAAAATTTGCTCATAGACTAGTCTAATGCAAGTTAGACTGTTTCACAAAAATAAAGACTGACCAAGAAAATTAGACAACTTACCCCAAGGCTAACTTAGGTCTAAGACTCTGTTACCTTGGCAACCAGCAGTAACAATCAGTTACATTACAAACAGCCAAACGAAACGGGAAAATGGCTCATAATTTGTGGTTTGCTGACGACGTTATGGAGAGAGCTATGAGAAGAAGGGAAAGGGTTTTTAGGGACCGCAGTAACCTACTTGTACCATGTTTTTGTATCTTTTCTGTACGTCTTTAACGCTCCTCTCAACGGTCGGATTAAAGCTGTTAACTGTCGTAGCAATCTTTGTCCAAATTAAACATGTCTTCTTGTTACTACATTCTCCACTAAATTTCCCAAATAAAATGTCCTTGTAACTGTTACACTCCAACAAACATATTTCCCGCTGGGGTAAACTCAAGGGGGTAATCCATCGACCGGAAGTTGAAGCCGGCCAGGTGCCGCCATCTTGTAGCAGAACTTCACTTGCGTTAGCATTTCCATTGACTCCCATTCATTTTGGCGTCACTTTGACAGCGAATAACTTTACATCTGAGGCGTTTAAAGACTCCATTTGTCCATTATTTATTTCTAAAGAAACACGACAATGTATAAAGGGCTCCATTACCTTCTATGTTACACTATGGCCCCGTAGAAACAGATTTAGTAAAAATAGGCTAACGATTGCGTCATAACCACTCGACTCTCTGTCGCGCTGTACAGAAATTACCGTACAGACAGGAGGAGAAGCTCGCAGGCAATCGGGGGGACGTCCCGTCAAGGGAGAAGCCCATAGATAATGAGTCCATAAAAGCAACGGAATACTTACTCCTGCTCACTCACGCCAAAGAACTCTTCGCTCAAGTTCGCCGTCTCCGCAAGATTAACGTTGGCAATTTTCACGCACAGCTACTAGAAGATTAACGTCTGTCAGACAGGTTGCTCACGTCATCGAGCTTAGTTTGAGTCGGTTTGAGTCTGCGCGTCAGGAACGGAAGTGCTCAAAAATCGCTAAAAATGGGCTTCAACTGTCTCAACTGAGTTCCAATGAGATGGCTCTGTCCACTTCTTATACTGTCTATGGGTAAACTGCACTGAGCGGCTGAATGCGCTTACTCGATCCGCCATGTTTTTTGTTTTGAAAAAATGTGTCTTATTTTACCCAGAATGCATTGCAGTGTAGTCCTACTTAAGATAGTCAGAGTCTTCAGTGCTTTGTGCAACGGTCTGATTTAGATGTCTATCTGAAGGCTGACTATATATCTAAGCCATAGTCAGTCTATCTTTGTGAAACCGGCCCCTGCAGCCGGACACTCTTCTTTCTAATGGCGCTTTTCCATTACCAGTACCAGCTCGACTCGACTCGACTCGCCTTGGCTCGCCTCGACTCGGCTCGCTTTTCGCTCCGTTTTCCATTGCAGAAAGTACCGCCACAAATAGTACCCGGTCGTCATAGCGACGCATTTCGTTCCTCGTTGCCCCATCAAGCTCTCGCTGGATCCTCTCTTCGGCAACCAAACAAAGGAATGTCTGCACCTCCTCGTTTGACCACGGCGTATTCTTCCGAGTTGCCATAATAATAGTAGTAAGTTTAGTAACTATCTCTGGCCAAACTATTTAAAAATGGCGGGGTTATTCTGGATACTCCATCTGGCGCGTGCAATGATGACGCAGATTCTCTGTGACCAATCAGCAGTCGGCATTGTTTTCACGTCACATTTTAGTATCGGCTTAGCTCGCCTCAGCTCGCTTAGAACCTCGCCGGAGGTGGTACGAAAAAAAGTACCCGAAAGCAGGTACAGGTACAACTTTTACACAGTGGAAAACCAAACAAAGGCGAGTCGAGCCGAGGCGAGCTAGTACTGTGTAGTGGAAAAGCGCCATAAAGTGCTCATGTTCAAAGAAGTGAGGGCTGGAGTTTCTCGCTCTCTGAAGGACATACATTAGTCCTTGTTCATGAGCCGTTTCACTCTATAGATATACAGCAAATCAAGTCTACATTGAAAATCAAGTTTTTAATGTTGTTTATGTGGTGTTTTTAATATGCTTTAAGACACACCATGTGTTAGTTCATAAGTCGACAGCATTGCTGAGTATTTTCTGCTTAAAACTGCAGTGAACCAAAGACAGTCTCAAAAACATGGTGTGAAATCGCTGGTGTTTCTGACATCACAAACGACCTTGTAACCAATCAGATCAACGTGTGATCGTCAACCAGTGGATCTCTGAGCTGAGTGAGTGAGTGGAGGCGGGGCTCATTTGCATATTCATAGAACCACGTATACTAAATGAGGCAAGGGTGTCGAGTTACATTCAAGCTATTTTAAGAAATTTCAAAGGGGAAAAAAACGTTTAAATGTGTTGGTGATCAAAGATACATGGGGACTTTAAGAGTCATCTTCACATGCTAGACCAGCATATATGCCTTGATTTAAACCTTCAAACCCTATTTCTGCAGTGCATAGCGAGTATTGTGTACACTGCCATCTCAGCTCCTGCTGGAAGATGCTAGAACTACACCATCATCAGGCTGCACTTTCATTCTCTTCACAGCCATGCAAAATCAGCTGTGTATTCTGACAAATAACTGTTTGCAAAATATTGCTCAAAATTAATTATAATAGTTTTACCACTGTTTTTATATTATTTTGTAATAAGGCAGAAATTTTAAAGGGATAGTTCACCCAAAAAAATTTATTTAAATTTTGTCATCATTTACTCACCCTCATGTTGTCCCAAACCTGTATGAGTTTCTTTCTCCTGCTGAACACAAACGAAGATATTTTGAAGAATGTCAGTAACCAGACAATTGATGTATTTTTTTCCTACTATGAAAGTCAATGGCTACCGTGGACTCAACTGTTTGATCACCAACATTCTTCAAAGTATCTTCTTTTGTGTTCAACAGAAGAAAGACACTCATACTGATTAGGAACGACTTGAGGGTGAGTAAATGATGACCAAATTTCCTTTTTTGTTGGTGAACTATTACTTTAAGTGTGCTATTGCTCAACAGCATCTTTTTTTTTTCTACTAAAATTGTTGCACACTTCTAAAACTCATATGACGGCTCCCCCTGGCGGTGTGGAGGATGTTTTCTTCAGAATCTAGTTAATGTGTTTCCAACATACCTACAATTTAAATGAAACGTGATTAAGAAATTTAGACTTAGTTATTCTTACATTTTTGTGCTATATCGAGCATTATACTTTTTTTGCAGTACTGTTTTAAAGCCGTTAGGTGGTGATGTAGATCAAATGTGGACAAGCATATTATAGTGTGCTTCTTATTTTAAGAGACAGAACATTTCAACAGTGTATGCAGGTTCATGCCCTTTTCCACACACACTATAGTCTCAAATAATTTGGCAATATTGGGCTTGCCATGACAAAGCATCTGCAAGTGATATTATAAAACGAATTATTTATAGATAGGCCTACGCGTTTAACACTTAAATAGCTGCATTGATCATTTTAAGACAGAAGCACTGAGCGCTATCATTGTCCTCCCCCTCCGCGTGTGTGTGTGTGTGTTTCTATCAGGGTGGATCAATGCAGGAGCCTGAGCTCCACACACACCCGCGCGCGCGCACACACACTCGTCCTGTCCGCGCATCCGCAGCGTCGCGCTCGCTCTATCTCTCTCTCTCGCCCGCGGCTGACGCGCTGACGCGGGCCGCTCCTGCTGGATATGTGCATGTTATAGTCGTAGGTTGAAGGCCAGGAGACATGCCGGTGTGAAGCGGGCTCAGATATCTGTATCTTCCGCGTTATCTTCGCTAAGCGCGGGTCCGAGCGCCGGTGCGGAGCGCGCGGCCTGTAAACACAAGATGTCGACCAGAACGCCATTGCCCACCGTCAACGAGCGCGACGCCGAGAATGTAAGTCAATGATACAACATATCAGTCTGCATGAATATTCATGATTACAATGCATCTGTGCTGGTTTGCGTCCTTGTGTTTTAGCGGACGCTTACACAAGCTTTTAATGCTTTAATAAGCCGGATTGGTTGAATATGCTCGCTTGCCTTCTGAAGGTTTGATAGTCATATCTAGTGTTAATTTAAAGCCATTAATAGAGCTATATCTGCTTTATAGCCGTACATAATGTCCAGGGACGTTCAGGTGTATATGATGCCTCCCTGTCCTATGTTAAGCATTCAGCACACTGATGATCCTCATCACATCACATGTTATCCCATCATCTGTCCCACCTCATGCTTTAACGTCCCGGCACCAATTTGAACACTGTTTACTACACTGCAATTAATATGTAATAGCCTAAGCTTGGTAGGCCTACTTTACAGTTTACAAAGAGGGTTTTCAGGATGAACAGTTATGCTACATACAGTTTAATGACAGCAAAAGGATAAAATAATGCAATAAAATACAGTTATTTTTCAGAGTGTTCTTCATTTAAAAAAAAATTATAACATACATTGTTTATTATCCACTGACAAAGCTTTTGGTTGATTTACAGGCTGACTCAAGGTTACTGAACACATGAAGGAAAATTTTACCCGAAAATTACAATTTATTTGACTTTGTTTCTAGCGATTTGTATTTTAGCGTGATTTGGGCCAATGAGATTTAGCTGTGAGTGGGGTTAGACGACACAACTGCAGAACTGGATAACAATAGTGTGTAGTATGTATGTGTAGTATAACAAGTTGTATAGTACTCATAAAAGAGTAGGCAAAAGCACCCGGGTGAACTACTAGGCTACATCGTCCATATTTCATTCCTACTAGAACACACTTTTTTAATGGTCGTGAAGTTTTAAACAAATGGCCTACCTACTATACATTATGAATACAGCAATTGTGTTTTTCTGTTGTGTATTATCCACAAAAGGATCATTCTTTACGCAACTCTTTTACATAAAATGACTTTTTTCGTACCGACATCCTCCAAAAGGACCACATAATCACCATAAAACTGTGCTATATTCCCAGTCTTCAGAAGCCATCCATTTTCCCCACCAAAGTTAATGAAAATATTCCACTTTGGTCTCAGCTCTTAAATCTTTTTAATTGGCCTGGCAGAAATATTGGTCTATAACGAAATGAATGTGATTTGAGAATACGAGGAAACGCAGTGTGGTTTGGGATGCTGTAAACGCTCTTCACTCCTAGAGGAATGATCACGGGGAGGGATCTTGATCGGTGAGTTATTGGAGAAAAGAGGCGGTATGAAGTCTTCTGTTGCGCTCAGGTTTTAAGCAGAGCTCAGATCAAGTGAAGGATCCCTGTGCTGGTATTGTTGAGTGAGTCTCAGGTCTGTGGCCTGTGGGAGAATCTTTATGTCTGGCTGATAATGGTCGCACAGGGGCTGTTGACTCAATCATGTAATTACAGGCTGTGATTAATGAAAGCACAGAAGCGCTCCGAGGTCGTCTGGGTTTGTCACCTCTGTACATCACCATGTTGTCAACCCTGTTATCGCATTTCAAGTTAATGTGCTTATATGTAATTCTTGATGAATATGTTTCTCAGTGATACATTAGCCCCTTTCACACGTACAGTGTTTAATTACTGGTTAAATGCCATTTACAGATCATGTGTGAACGGGCCCTTTCCAAAAATACCCGTAAATCAGTTCTTGGCAATTTTATGGCATGAGAAGTTGTAAATTACCGTTTTGAACAAAGCATCACAGTTTCTGAACGTAACTCAAACTATCACATATCTTCTTTGTGCTCTGTAGAAGATGAAAAGTCGTACGGGTTTGTAACGAGTAAATGATGACTAACCCTTCCAGTGCATTATGGGTGTTGTCTCTCATTTCGCATGCGGTGAGATGGTGATATAGATTCTGATGCGGGATTATAAGCCACGAGAAGAAGAGTTTCGGTGGTCCTCAGATATTGATCCTCGGTTCGCATTGGCTGTTGTCTGTTGTTCTCCCGGGCCTGAAGCTGCAGACGGGCCGGTGTGTGTCGTAAAGCGCTGTCCTGGCAGAGGTCAAAGGGGGTTTGGAGATCAGTGCACTTCTCTCTGTTATAATCAATGCAGCTGTCCAACTATAACACACTCGTCTCACACCCCCCTCGAATCCACTGCCTCACTGTGTGTGTGTGTGTGTGTAAATCTGGAACAGCAAGAGAACAGTAATTGAAGAGAAGGACTGTCTGCAACAGTGGTTATTTTGGTAATTGAATACTCAAACTATTGCTTGAACAATTACTCGACTATTTGGCCGATTAATGCAACAATTCATAATCAACTTTTCAGCTTTTGCCTTGAGTTCTTGCTTAGTTAGGGACATTTAATATTCAACAATATTATTGATCTGCTGCTTGACACCATTATATGAGAACTGAACTGAGCTGGACGATCTCTAGAGCAGCTATATATATAAATGAACTAAATTAATAACTTTTTTACAACAAAAACTATCACTGAACTTACTTAAGCTGGGCTGTGACGCTATTTTCTTCTAGATCTGCTGTACAGCAGAAACAAACTCTGTTGCATTATTTCCCTGTTATCTGTGTAAAGCTGCTTTGAAACACTGTAGTGTAAGAAGCGCTGTGTGAATAAAGCTGGCCGGACTGGAGTTAGAGGTCGTGTTACACCGTGTCCTATCCGGCGACACGCGCCGATTCTGTTTTAGAAAGGGTTTCGCAGGGTCTCTGCGACGTCGAGCTGGACCAGCAACAGAAAGTATGATAATCTCAGGCACTGTTTATGCGCTTTATTTAATGTTGAAAGCGTCTGTGTGAGTTTGAATATCATTTTGTGTGTTTTTATAGCCGTACTGAAAGCAACTCACCTCAGATCTTCAAAATAAATCAAAGTGAACAAGAACGTTCAAATTGTCAACTCATTGTTAACAGACAAGTGTATGGATGGACAACAATTGTTTCAGTAACTCAGTTTGTATTTTTAATAATGTTTAAATGGTGTAATATTCAATATTCCTCTTCTGATTGGCTGTGATTTTTATAGTTTCGCATATGGGTTTAACAATATATCGTATCACAATGTATCGCAATACAAAAATGCAACAATATGTATCGTGGATATTTCACCCAAAATGATAATTACTTTGCGTGAAAAATTCAGGTTTTCAGAGTTTTAGTGTCAGTAGTACAGTAAACTGCTATATAATGTTGAATATAATGTATAATAATGCAATGGGGGATATTTGTGTGCCTGATAATGGCAAATGTCTGATGTTACCAGTAAAAAGTGGCCGACATTATTTTAAATATATCTAGTCAGTGACCGAGTTTACACCAAATTTAGCGTTTTAATCAACAGCACATTTTTTGCAAAAATATGGTATCGTGAGTTCAGTATCGTGATATGTATCGAATCGTTTTCCAATCTAATATTTAAGAAACATCTTACCTTTTAATTAAATTTATAGGTCAAGTTTAAAAAAAATGACATATTAAAACAAAAAAAGTGTAATTCAGTTAAAAACAAGGTACTGTCCCTGTACAGTGCTGGGGAGATTACTTACTGAATACAGATTACATGATACAAATTGTAGTAACGTAATACATTACACATTTAGGGTCTTATAATCTGATTACTTTTAGATGTATCCTCATTTTCACCTCATAACTTATTTATCATTGATTTGAATAGAAAGAAAAATGATTCAATTTCTTGCCATCAACCAAATGAAGGACTCCCACATCTGGGCCTGATATGAATAGGAGCGGGTGAAAGGACACAGTGAATCTGATGAAAAGCAGCGTTTGTTGACATGTGTTGGTCTGATACCTTTAGGTTGTGAATTTGTTGCGTATTTTCAACACACTTGGGAAAGATAATAGTTCTGTAAACTGTGCAAGTGATGTCAGACCCGATAATCTCCCTATCGACTTCCATTGTTTGCTTAAGAACAGATCAGAAGCCAGTAGTGTGACCTTTGCTATCCCTATATCTCAGCTCACACTGCTAGACGGATGAGTCAGTCGGAGTCGGGACCACACTGAAGCGTTCTTGTGTTGTTCTGGTGGTTACACAGCTCAGTGCTCAAGGAGGAGAAGGAGTGTTAGCTTCTGAGTTTAGAGATGAGAAGGCATTAGCATGTGCGTTAGCATGCGTTAGCGATGGACCCGCATACTGATAATGTGTGATTTGACCTTTTACTGAATTTGAAATGCAGAAGAAACGATTCAGAAAGGAGTGTTGATCTGTCTTTTGTAGGAATGCGACTAACTATTATTTTGATTATATTAACTCTTTCCTCACCGGCGTTTTTAATAAAAGTTGCCGGCCAGCTCCAGCATGTTTGATGATTTTCACAATTTCATGGCCGTCAGAATATTTTGTTGCATGAATATCTGAACATGCAATATATGAAATGTGGGAATGGAGGTAAGTTTCGTAAAAAAAAGAAACATTTCAAACAAAAGGCTAAGAAATTTTCGAATAAAAAGCCTGAGTTTATTTATCCCTTCCTCACCCTGCAACACTTCAGTGAAGTTTAACGGAGAACCGCTTGCTGTCAGCAGGACGAACCTCTGTGCAAAATGGAAATACTCACATGAATTTGTAACATTTACAGATAATTAGATAAATGCATATTGAATGTTATGCGCTGGGAAAACCTGTCTCCAACGCACTAAACCGCACAGTTTCCCTGCGAAGGCTTAATCTGTGTCCTTCACTCCAGCTTATAGGCTATTATGATGTTTCACATTGGCGTATTTGCGTATATTGTGTTTCGCCTTTAGACGGCAGAGTGTGGAAGTGAGGCGGGATTGAACAGATCCTTATCAAAACTAGTGTGAGTTCTGGAGAGCGCTCGCATTGGAAGGCTTTCTCCTTTACAACGGTTGCGTAACAGAGGAAAGGCTGCGAGAGAAGGGAGTGCTTTTAAAGGATCGAGCGTCTGTGTGTGTGTGTGTGTGTGGAGGGGGG